TTATTCTATGTGACTCTTAACGTTAAGAAGGTTTGGCCACCCCTGGACTAGGTGGTCCATATGGCCCTTTCCAACTCTGTGATTCTATGGTTCTATTATTCCTTCCCACAGCAATCCCCCCCCGCCATTGTACAGCTCTGTCCTCCCCTGAGTGACAACTCCCTTCCCCTTATATCAACTACACTGAAAGGAGTGATGGGTGACTTTCCTGAGCTCTTGTTAGCCCCATCAGCATTTCTCAAAGGAGCAAGGAAGTCACTGCAGTGTTTGCAAGGGGCTGCCGGATTGGGGGGACACAGTGGAACGAGGTTCTCTTGGGCTCTGAGACCGCTGCCACCAGTGTTCCCTCTAAGCTGAGTTAGTGTGAGCTAGCTCACAGTTTTTTAGCCTCCAGCTCACACGTTTTTTCTTAGCTCAGGAAAGGATGGGCTCCAGGGCAAACTGATTTTTGCAGTAGCCAAATCGCTCACTCACAACTTTCATGCCAGTAGCTCACAAAGTAGAATTCTTGCTCACAAGACTCCACAGCTTAGAGGGAACATTGGACCAGTAGGTACCCCTCTCACTGGGAAACGGGAGAGTGACGTGGCCTCTCCACTCAGGGTTGGGGCCTCTGCGTGGCTCTTGGGCCTCAACGGTTTTCCAACCATGCCAGCCTCCGCCGCCAGCCTTCGGAAAGATGACCGGCAGGAAGCGATGCTGTGCACAGCTAAGGCCGCGCCGGCTCGGTAACAACTTCTGTGTCGAATCTTGTATTCTTTTTGAGAGAGGGAAAGACAGTTAGGTGTTTGTTTTTTTTAAGTGATTGCTGTGATGTGTTTCTGCAGCCCGAGGCAGGGAATCTGGTTTTGATCTTCACACCTCTCTCCTCGACGATCAACACCAGCCACACTCTGTCACACGCAGAGTAGGTGGAATTCTCTCCTGTGTTGGGCCTTTTCTTGGTGCAGACACGCGCAAGTTCCAGAATACTTTACAGGGCACGATTTGATCTTCTCATTACGAATTCCCACGGCTTGCGCGGTCTAGTGATAATCTCGATTGGTCAGGCCGAGATGACATTTCGCTACTTTGCATCGTCTTCCTTTGAGTCTGGTGCGGCAGCCCGGGAGGATTTTTTTCCCCCCTTACAACATTCTACTTTGCAGCTCTGTTCTGACGCCATTCCAGATGCTGCATTGACACTTTTTTAAAAGTCTGGAATTAAGATGCTGTTTGACTGCCCAAGAAGACAGCAGCTGTATCTCCCGTTTCCCAGACCAGCTGCCGACGCCGCCTCTGACGCTGTGCGTTCGGAAGCCGCCGCACGACTTCTCAGAGGCAGGCTGAGAGACTCTTCACTCGCCGCGAATCTTGCCAGCGCGGAAAAATGGGATCCAAAATTGTGGGGTGTGAAGATAAAGCAGATGGTTCGGCATGGCCAAAGAGACCAGGTGCCTTCACCCGAGAAATGTCTGCACCTGGCAGATAAGAAGAGGTTTCAGGAAAGTTGAGGGGTCATAGACATTATTAACGGGGCTATGAAATTGGGACCATCCCGCCTTGCTCTTCCTTTGCCTCCCACCTTTGTAGGTCTCCTTCCTCCCATATGCATTTCAGACGGCTGTGTGACCGGGGGGGGGGAACAAAACCGTTGTGCTGTCTCTTCTGGCCTTCCCTCCCCCAAATCACAGCCCGCTGGTGAATTTTAAGCAGCGAACAGCGTTGCGGTCTTTGCTTCACTGAGTCGTTTTGTGTTTTTTTAAAAAAAGCAC